AAGTGCCATATACTAAGTAATAAATCATTAAGTGCCAAATAAAATATCATTCCACCAACGAACGTCCAGTAATGCAACTCTATACGTTGATATCGTAACAAATTGGTTTCGATTCGAGAGGGCGAAAATAGCTTCCTGCCATGCGTCTCCGAAGCGACCGACTGGAAACTATAGATAACACTCCACACTTGTTAAGAACTTATGGCCTGTACTAAGACGGAGTGGCGCATACACATAATGTACGGTTTAATGTATGATAGGATAATAAAAATATGTTATGTCGTAATAAATAAATATACCATAAATATAAAACTTTATATAAATTATAAGCTTAGAATATTTTTATAAGAAAATTTAAGTACGAGAATCGCAATTTTTTTAGGTGAAAAATATGCACGTATAGATAAATTGTCAGATAATTGAATTGTTTTGAACTATCTTACCATTAAATTAAAAAAAAAAACTTTCTTCGCATACGAATTCATATTTCTCATTTCTATAATGAGATTTATAAACTAATTTTATAGAATTAAAAAAGTGTTTGTAGTAATAAATAAATTTTCTCTGTAATATATTATAACTAACGCAATTAAAATAATCAAATTAGTCTATACCTGAAACGCTTCGACGTTCCTAGTGACCATATAGATCTTTGTTTGTTTTGATAAAGACAAAAAGCGGTGTTATAATTATTTATTATATTTAAACAATGCCTCAAACTAATCTTCCGTCAATTTTTAGGACTTTTTTCTAGGTTTTGGTTTTCTTTTGCTGGTTACTATAGCAACCTTCACATCCATTATCTCCATGTCCTTTACATAGCAGAGTAAGATATTCTCATCATAAAAAAAAAGAATAGGTTTCATTTACTGGATCTTGGAGAAGTATAAAAAGCTGTTTAGATATATGATTTTTAATTTTCTAAATCATAAGTAGCGTCGTCATGTCGAAATGAATTTTTTCGGCAATAATACGTATCCTGGTTGTGTAATTCTTCTCATGATGAATAGCGAATCTTAAATATGAATTGGGCCATTTCATCTGAAGTACATTTTGATGGAAAAATCTAAGGAAGCTTCTAATTTGTGTTGATAACTTTCAAAAGCAGTGATTGGCTTTATTGGTTGCCTTACCTAAAACCCTCTCGTGTTATATATATCAATACTAATATTTTTATTATTACACATGTTTACACTTTAGAAGCATATAACTCGGATGCTGTTGATTTCTACAAAAGAGTCACCTAGAATAGTTTTAGGTTTCGAGTAAAATGACCTTTTAGTGAGACACAGACAGACGGACATGACAAAACAATAAAGTTATCGTCTTTGCCTATTGCCTACATAACACGAGATTGAAGCTAAACGTATAGGCTAGTGATAAGCACCTAGAAATGCAACCCCACCCCTCCCCCTCCCCAACGTGCGTTCACCTTGTTGTTGTGGGGGGCTAATTAGCGTTCGGCAATCCAGCCGGTCGCGAAGCCAAGAAACACATGGGGAGGCGGGGGCGGTGTGCCATGCGGGTAGCTCCTGGTACTTCTCTATAGCAGAGTGGACCGTTAGAGTAACCTGTGTAACAGTAGCCTGCTTCGGTAGGCCTGGCGTCGTGGCTGAGTGCGTAAGCGATCCTGAGACGTCCTTAAGACGGGGTAGGTTCCGTTTTATGGGTAGTACTGGTTTTTCTAGACGGTGAGTCACACATAACTACCTGTATGTATAAAGGTGGTATGCGTAAATGCATTTCTCAACATTAAAAAAAGACACATAGAGAAATACCCGAGTGAAGCGATAGTAAGTGGCTAGTATACCTACAATTTTTTTTTAATTTAACATCACAATAACACAACATTCGTAATATCTTATTCGTGTATTTTAAAAACAAAATCAATAGATATCTTGGAATAAAAAGACTTCCTTTAATAAATATTTCAATGATACGAGGACAGGCCTTTTCAAATATTATTCTGTGTTTGCCTCAGGCAATAGCATGATTGTTTGTGCACCTGAAACCTCTCATCCCGATATATTAAATATCCGAAATATATATTTATATATATTTATATATATTTATATATATATATATATATATATATATATATATATATATATATATATATATATCAAAAATATTATAAATGTTAAAGTGTGTGAATGGCTGTATGGATGTTTGTTAATTTTTGACGCCAGAACGGCTGAACAGATCTGGATGAAATTTGGCACAGAGATAGATTACAATCTAAAACGGTTCCCGAGGGATACATTTGTTTTTGTTTTCCAAGTGAAGCGAGGATGAGTCGCTAGTATAATAATGTCTCTGTTCATAAGGTTTATAGCGGCGTGATGTTAGAAATCCTATATCTTTTCAGGTTTCCACAATAATTAAGTGATTTAGTTAATGAAATTTTAAATCGGACTGCTAGTTCCAGAGATAGGCACTTTCTATTAACTCTTCAACTTTATATTAAATATTAAAAATATATAATATAAATTTTATAGTTAAAGTCAAAAAGCCCAATATACGATTTGAGAACTTTAAAAAGCTAACATCCTACACCACACAAACATAAACTATAACCACAAAGCGCTTAAAACGTCGAGTCAATTAAAAAATTCAAAAAGTATACTCGCGTTAAATCCTTTAAAACGCTACTACATGTAATACGAATTGAGAAATTCCGTTTATGTATTTTGACGAAAAAATCTGATGAGAAAATCTGAAGCTGTTAGAACTCATACGATATTCTGTTCACGTCGCGCGTTTCAATCAACAAAACAACTATTTTACAAGGAAAAAGATCAAGCCAATCAAAATCTCAAACATTGAGTGTGACACAAAGGTTCTTGTTCATAAGGTACAAGTATCACGTGTCGAGAATTCGTCTCTTGCCAACTTTTTAGGATATTCCTCTTGGCAATAAAACAGCCATTTGTAATGTGACGTAAAGTTAAGAGGTTTTGATCTGTTCCCACACTTGGTACTTTAGAAGTTTACAAGGATATCTTTACACGAAGATTTTGCAAGAATCAACTCGTACTTCTAAAAACCGTAGTAAATAAAGATTAATTGAGTGTAGAGATTTTTTGTAGTAGGTATTAATACTACTTGTAATAAATAAAATAAATTAAACCTAATAATTATTTTTAAATAAAAAGTTATAACGTCTGCACGTGACATATTTTTCGTGTTATTCGTTAAAAATAGAATTTTCAAATTGAAATAAAAAACATTATATAACCAAATTGAGTACCTATCTCTTAAAAATTTGGTTATATCCATAGCTGTAGCCATATCAAATATCTACTTGCAATAGGTCAAAAAATCGGAAGTTAGAGAACTAATTCTCGTTGTAAGTAAAAATTCCTAGGCAAAACCCTTTAGCTTGCTAATGAATCTATACTAATATTATAAAGAGGTAAAGTTTGTGAGTTTGTGATGTTGTAGGGGGTAATCTGTAGATTCACTGAACCGATTTAGATAAAATTTGGTAAGAAGATAGTTTGAGACCCTGGGAAGGATATAGAATACTTTTTAACCCGGACATCACTCCTTAGGGGAGTGAAAATGGGGATGAAAGTTTGTATTGGGTAGCAAGCTAGGGACGAATCCGAGCGAAGCGAGGGTGAGTCGCTAGTATAGTAATAAGCTAACTAAATAAAAATTAATAGTGTACATAATTTAGTACCATATTTATAAAAAAGCTAACTAGTTTATGTAATTCCGTGTAAAATGAACAGAATGTCAACATAAGTTATACAGTTAATTCAGTCGACAGTGATACGAGTTGCAAAGTGCAGCTGCGTGTGACGCTTACATGATTAAGTATACAAGACATCTGGCGACAACAGCCTTCAGAGTTTCATTTTAATTCCAACTTTGTTTATATAACTACTAATTAAAATCGTGGTTTTGCCCGTATTTCATATTTGTATAGCTATGGAGTTTTATAGCCGCTATAGTTAAGCTATTGAGCTGTAAACAGTTTGTTATATTAATTTTTTACGCTTACGCTCATCTTTGAAGTTAAATTGTAGTGTGACTTAATATGCTGATAAACAATGGTTCTTCGGATCGGAATCGGATCTTCTTGTATTTATTTCGTTCAATAGACAAATCTTTTTATAATTATTTTTTTTGGATTCCGGTATCTTGCAAATAATCAAGTAAACTCGATATTTATTTATGCTTTATAATTATAGATCGAATGTATAAGTGACTTATTATTCTGGACAAGAGAAAGGGACCACATGATAGAGGTTAAAAGAATGACCCAACATATTTATTTTATTTATTATTATTTAATGATTCAATCGATAGTAACCTAATTTTTTCTCGACTGGTAGATCCTTTGGGCAAGATTTACATCTAAAGACTACTTTTAAACGCAAACTCAGCCGCGGGTGACATCTTGGAAATAATAACAAACGTAATACAAGGGTATAGGAAAATACTAAAACTAAATTGATAAAATTAATAGAATCTAATGTCATAATCGACAAAAGACGATCGACTGTCATGATGTTTTGCCTCTTAGGCTTGTCAAATCGGCAGATTATTAAATTGGACCCCTTTGGGCATAATCCTTAATCCTTTTATGTAAGATAGTTTCTTGAGAATATGAAGAGATTAACTAAATAAGTTATTGAAATAGAGATATATGTATATTATCATGTATAGAATTGTTGTACCTACTCGATGATTTATTATTTACCAACATGAAAAAAGGAAGACATCGTCAATTTGGTTCTATGATTTTTTATATTTAGTAAGTACATATTTTTGCCAATTATTTTGAATCGATTTTCATGATTTTATTTTCTTAATAGATAAATACTGTGAATTTCCTTACCATTTTCCTTATAAGTCATAAAAAAAGTCTAAGATAACCTAAAGAGAATTTAGAGATGAATTTAGAAGCGAGGGTAAGTAATTAGTATGTATATTAAAAATTATAATTAAGATAAAAGAAATTGATAAATGGACAATTTATTTGCAGTTTAAGCTCTACAGTTTGCTAGATTAGGGTAGTTGCAGGACTGATTTTTCTGGTCCCAATGAAGATTGCTTGGACAATGGAGAAGTTTTGCCACCAAGCCACTAGTCACGTCTTTCATACAGTAATAATATGAGGTGCAACTATGAGGGTTCGAGAAAAATCCTACTTCTTTGCATACAAAATCGGATGGATCTGCAATAAGAAGTATAATAAATAAATTTTATTTTGGCAAATACGGTTTTAGTTAAAAATTGATATATCTATTACCTTCATAAGCTAGCTAATTAATAAAAAATAAAAAAAGGTTAAAAACACTTATTAAATTTAGAAAATTAAATGGTAGATTAATTTTCAAAATAAAAATTAAATGTTTTAGTACACCGACATCAAAATAACTTCAAAGTAATTTAAAAATTTTAAGGAACCACCGTCGAGTGTTATCATGTAACATACATAAAAAAACTTGAGCTATGTCAAGCAAATACATGTATATATATGAACATAGTTACCTGAAGTGGCAGGATTTGATGTAGTTGGGCTAGTAGTACTAGGTAAACTCGTTACACGTCTTCCTAATGCTGCATTGACTGCTCTTAGTAAAGGAAAATCTTGAGGTTGGCAGGAACCAAGAAAATCATCGGTTTCTATACTCCATAGCATAACGCTAGTGATATTTAATTGCAAGGCATATTTAACTTTTAAAGTTAAAGAATCCACATCATCGTATGATATCCAGTTTCTTCCCTGAACAGCATAAGGCACTTTTGCTAAGCTATCGTAATGAAGGTCCCAAGTTTCAGTTAGAAGTTTCTGGCATAACTGTAATTTTAAATTCGATATAAGCTACTAGAACTGAAAAATAAAATTAATACTATTTGAAAACAATTAATAGATTACTTCGTTATATCCGATGAGTCCTTTAGTAGCCGTGTAAGGTCCAGCTATTCCAGGTCCTCTAGACGGAGCTCTTACTCCATTTTCAATAGCAGTGACTAATTCAAAAGTACGACCGAATAAAGGCAATCCCAAAACAAGCTTTTCCGGTGGACATCCTGAAAATAAAATCAATTTGCCTTAGTAAAAATAAGATCATCAAATAAGAGATGATACGTTTCTTATAAATACGTAACTTTGGGGTAATAATGTAAAGCAATATATATTATTAAAATCTGTAAGCTTGAACTTACGCTATGTTTAATGTTTAATGATTTTCATACTTGTGTTATGGCTTGTTAAAATAACTCATAAAATTTAATTGAGTAAACGGATTTGTTACCAAATTGGCCTTACCTTGAGAAAGCCAATAACTTAAAGTAGCCTCAATAGTGTAAGCATCTTCCTTTTCCACATTTTCGTCCCCTTCCCCCTTATGAAGGGGAGAATTGTGACCAGTTACTACATCAGTAGGGGCACTCATATCGTAAGCCATTACGTTTATTAAATCCAAGTACCTGTAAGTTTTATTTTTGATTTAGTTACAGCAGCATAAATATAACAAATAAATAATTAATTCAAATTCGCAAATCTATACATGTAATATAATTAATTGTATCTAATCCGAATCTGTACATTAAATATTTTTTGGAATGTCTTATTCATTCAATCATGAAAAATCTTATTGAAATAGACTTTATTATCGATACACAGGCCGCATCTATAGTTTTTAGAATTTTTGTCTGTCTGTCTGTGACCGCTTCACAGAAGAACCACTGGAGGGATTATGATGAAATTTGGTATGATGATAGCTGGTTATTTGAGTCAACATATAGGATACTTTTTACTGCAGGAAAATATCTCGTCTCTAAGAAATGTATACTAAACTTTAAAACCTAACCAGGGACGAACCCGAGCGGAGCGAGGGTGAGTAGCGACTAACTAGCGAGTTAATTTATAAAAATGATTGCATATTTAGGAATAAAATATTTTCATTACTTATGACTATGTAAAAAAATACTATAAATAAAATACGCACTGACTTATAACCGGTATATCATAAGACAACGATGCCGTTGACTTTACAGATGCCACAGCTGCGCTTAATAACAGGCCATGTTTGTCAAATTCTTCTCGCAACTCTTTTAACAGTTGGCTCAAATTATTTATATCTTCTTCACCATATACAGAGTCTCCACGATTTGGATACTCCCAATCAAAATCTAAACCATTAAAACCGTATTCTTGGATCATGTCTATTGCGCTAGTAATGAAAGTCCGACGAAGTCTTGGGTTTGCTGCCATCTGTTAAAATTGTAAATGTAAATTATGGGTTATTAAAGTGTTCGAAATACTTTTTCACAATCTTCTCGATCTTCCTCGATGGCCATGATATGGTGCTTATTTTCTATTAGAGATTGAGTTGTTCAATTCTAATACAACATTTTTTATAATTCAATGTGCGATGTATCTATATAATAAATGTCTTATGGATAAATAATAAAAAAAATTGTAAAATATGTACGGGAAATAGATAAAAATGTTTTGCTAATACCTCATTACTGCCCTACGCGCTCTATTAAGGAACCACGTGAAATGATTACTTATATTATTACGATGAAGGAAAACATCGTGAGGAAAGTCGTACAAATCTGAGAGAGCCAAACAAGTTTTCGAAAGATATGTGGAGTACGCAAACACACATTTAGCCAGCGTAGTGGGCTATGGCCTGATCCTCTCGCATTAATGACAGGCCCTCGCCGATTAGAGGGACGTTAAAAGGGTTCTATATATAATAACTTACGACAGAGTACTTTGCTGATCCTTCGTTCCAACCACCAACAGCTAATAACGTTTTGAGATTTGGATTTGTGTCCTTCAATGCATTAAATTTTCTTAACATATCTGAAAATAAATTTATTTTTAAAAATTCTAATATTTACTTCTAAAACATTAATTAAATTAAAGTATAATATAATATTAAATATGCAAATAAAACAACAAGTATTTAAATTATTAACGACTGTCTAATGAATAATTCAACCTTGAACCTGGAATATTAAATGATATTTCACACATCCATATTGATTTAATTTTCAGAAGTTATACTTTTTTTCAGATTTAATATACCACCTGTATTGGGTAGTCATAAAATAAAATTAAGTAGTGAATGCAATACCTTTTCCCCAATTGTCAGGATAATCCAAGTACGGATCTAAGGAAACTACAGTGCCTCTTGAATTGATTCCAACAAAGGTGTAAACTAGATGTGTGCAAAGTTCTGTATTGATGTCAGATACTTCGAATTTGCCGAGTCCGTTTCTATACACCGCCCATGTTCCATAGTAACATACGACGCGTTCTTAAATCAAGATTAATGAGTTTTATTAGTTTAAAGTATAATCTTTAATATAGAAAAAATGTTTATTTATTTATTTATTTATTTATATAACTATATCTATACATATAATGACAGTGTAACTGATCGCTGTCTGTACATGGCAGACATTTGAGAAAAACTATTATTGGGGGTCTTTGTTAACGCAATTGAAACCAAAACAATGATTTTTAAAATTTGGTTCGACGAATCTGAGCGAAGCGAAGGTATATAAATAAAACAGTTATTTCACTTAAATCTAATTATAATAAGTATGGATCGATTATCATTCATTTTTTTTTCAAGAAGAAGTCCGCCCTTAAAAGTGGAAAAATGGCATTTACTGATTTTGATGTCTGGAATTTCCGATGATTGCTATACTTTTTCCGATAAAAATAGGCTTACTTTCATATATTATAATAACTTTCGAAATTGAAAAAAAGGGGCTGTTGAGTTTCTTATTGGCATATACTGCCTCAAAGGTTTGAAATGAAGCAATAAAATGTGTCGCAAAAGGACCTTTAGGGATGCAATCGAGCGAAGCGAGGTTAAGTCGCTAGTTTGTAATAAAGGTAAATCTTACTCTCGTTTGCAGTGACGCGATGAGAAGTTCCTATATATAGAGCACAAAGTACGAAGAGAATTAATTTAAACATTTTTAGCACAGTTATTACAAAATAAAGGATTATGAGTACATGTATTGAATATAAGGTATCTCTTATCAACACTTTACAAAGTTTAAAGTGTGTTGCTATCAAATACTTCTTAAATAACAAGACAATAACGCAAGCACTTGTTATTAATTATCTATCGTATAATGAAAAATATATGTTTTTTATTATAATACTTTATATATTCTAGACATGAAATTTTAGAAGAGTAAGTATGATCCATGACCATACTAATATACTGGTAGTATGGTTACAGAGGGTTCAGAAGTTTACTTTATATGTTTCTTATTTTTCTATATCACAAAAATATAGTAAACCAATACCAAGGATGTCACTGTGACCACTTGAGATGAAGAGGATCCTTTTTTTACTCCAGAATCACTCTCGCTTCGCCTCTTTCTATCTGTTTCCAAAGCCGTGTAGCTATTTCGTGAAGAAGTAATAAATATACAAACAAACTTTCGCATATATACTAATATTCTTATTTTAAAAGTTCACCCAAGTATTGGGAAAATATCATGCCAATTTATAAATAAATTTAAATAAAAATAGGTGCGTGTGACGTTACGCACGGTCGAAGTAAAACTTCTTTGGCAAATATCGCAATTAAATTAAGCCAATCAATAATTAAATAACACATTAAGCATATTACAATCATATAGTTATAGAATATTATATACGGAAAGAATATAATATGATATATTTGTCAGACAATAATCAGACAATAACAACGCTTACCATGGCAACATGGCAATGTATTCTAATCTTATTGTTTTGCTGGCTTAATCCTATATTTTTATGTGTTTGTCTCTTTTTAGTGTCGCATTTTCGTTTCATCGAATTTCAAATCACAACGATTCCAAACAAGTGTAACTTCAATAAGTATTACATTAGTCATTAAGAGGAAATTCTTTAGATTTTCTCTGTAAGGCAAATTTTCAGTGGAGTAATTTTCGAGATTAATATACTCGTAGCAATGTAGCCTAAAGATGTTAAAAAAGTTAGACACCTTTTCCCATTTGTTATTTTCGTACAACCTGGAATTTTTTATAACGTATGAAGTAAATCGTCATTAAAATATTGATAGGAGGAACGTGTTAGATAAAAAGATTTAAGGAGAAGTTATGGCGGTATATCTGTCAAGTATTTTTTTTATTATGTAATAAAATTAAAAGGCCAGTATTTTTATGTTACTTTACCATGGTTATTGTAAATGTAATGTAATGTTATATAATTATGATTTAGACTGAGATGAAGAGTTTATTTGTTTTTTTTTTTAAACGCTCTAATATCATTATATAGCCCAATTCTTGAGTAAGCTGTATTTGTATATGAATGGACTATCTAACGTACGGCTACCACTTGAAACAGTTTAACACAAAGAGACAGCAAAAGCGCAGTAAAAGCTACTTAATTATGAAAACTTTATTTTGTTAGTTCTTATATGAGTTTGGATATAAAATGTCGCAGTCAATGTAGAAAATATTAATAATACGTGTGAATTAATTTATTAATCGGGATATTTACTATTTTTTTTATTTTAATACATGTATTTTTTATTTTAATACTATGCATACATGGGCATATAATATATATATAAAGTAGTGGCCCAGTGGTTGGGAAACCGAGTGAAGCGGGTTCAAATCCCAGGTCTCGCACCTCTGATATTTCCATGTGCGAATCATTTTCAACATGATTACCACTTCCCTTATGGTGAAGGAAAACGAGGTGTGGAAACGTGCATGTCTGAGAGAACCTAGCAAGTTTTCAAAAGACGTGTGAAGTCCGCCAACCCGCACTTGGGCAGCGTGGTGAACTATAGCCTAAAGCCCCTTGTATTAAAGAGAGGCCCGTGCCCAGCAGTGGGACGTTAAAAAGGACTCAATACAATATGTAGCTACATATATTAAAGGAAAAATATAAAATAATTGATTCCTATACCTAAAGCTTACTATCCCGTCAATTTATGGTTATTTATGTACAAAAATATCCAAAAAAGCCAGATAAATAAAAACATAATATATATCGGATACGCAAGAGAAACTATAAAATAAACAATTTTAACATGTATTGGTCGATTTCGTTTTTTCTATTGTGTATATTTATTTTCCCGGCTTAGGAACGATTGGGCCAAAATTTATAGCGGGTAATAAACTTTTTATATTAGATATTTACAAATTTTCCAGCGAAATGGCAGAGCCTTTTAATTAAAAAAAAAAACATCTGTGTAAAGTCACTGACAGCTTTTAGTTTGTACGATTATAATTTTACTAGAGAAAATTTATACCTCGGGAACCGCGTAGCCTATGTGTTATTCCAGATTATAATCTATCTCTGTGACAAATTTCATCCAGATCCGTTCAGCCGTTCTGGCGTGAAAGAGTAACAAACATCCATACTCACAAACATCCATACTCACAAACTTTCGCATTTATAATATTAGTATAGATTCTCACCAACTAATTATTCATTTATTTAGCTTTCATATACAAAACTTTATCTATTCGCTGTACTTGTAATGATATATTAGTGCATATAATTATCATAAAATAAACCAAAACACTTAATAACATTTGCAGTGTGACATTCTGCTAGAAGCTATAACACATTTGAATACATTTGAATTATATAGCATGCAAAATATTTATATGCTATATAAATAATTTAGTTTGTAATGTCTATGTGTTAATAATTCAGGTCATATATATATATATATATATATATATATATATATATATATATATATATAGTAGGGTGGAGTGAAAAAAAAAATTTTTTTTACCCAACATTTTGAGGTGGCCCACTGATTTTTAAAATAAATAATTATTTAAAATTTTTGATTTGAACGATTTTTTTTTCGAGTGGCCTTTGAAAACATTCAAGAATTGACGAATAGAATCATTTTCCACTCAACTTTCACTTATAAGTAGAAATATTTGATTAGGTATGTATAGTAAATGAAAACTACCAATCAGTTATTTTTTACTTTTTAGTGCTTTTGTTTGAAGTCGGTTTTTATGTTTTGTTAAAAAGTTTTTATTATTATAACATTAGTCCGATGAAAGATGGCATAACAATATAGGTAATTCGCAAATTTCACTACATGCCCAATAACTGTTAGTGTATTTATGTGATAGAGGACAGACAATCCATCGAAGTCGAGAGAGTATGAAATTACAGCCGCGGTGGAAATAGTGAAAAGTGGCGAGATATTTCAAGCTTACAATGTGCCACAATCGAAACTAACAAACTAAGTATACTACAGGTTTTCGATATTGCATGTTAATTTTAAAATTTTACGATATTCAATAGAGTGTGAGACAAAACCTTCTACATTTTGTGTACCTGTTTCCTCGATTGTTTTCATTACATCGAAAAAAGGATTGACAAGTTTCAATAAGGTTCTGATCGACATTTATGTACGTATGCATTGTATTTATGCATATATGTATGTATGTATTTATGTAGGTCTGTGTGTATGTATGTACTTATTTATGTATTTAGGATATTCAATTGTGTGTAGTAAGTACACCGCCTACCATTTCATATAATTTTCTCCTACGCCCTAAGGTTGCCTGGAAGAGATCGCTTATAAGCGATAAGGCATCAAGGCAATCCTGTGCACTATCTTTTGTTTATATCTTCTTTTTGTATATTTTTTTGTGGTTTACAATAAAATATCTATCTATCTAAGGTTTACTTAATTCAATATCATTTTAACTTGAACCAATGCATAATTTTGTTTGATTTTACTACAGTCAAGAATAGGGCGTTACTTCCCCATAAATATAGCTCTTTCTATAATTAATTAATCCTTACACTTATATTATAGGTGTAAAGCTTGTAAGTAGGGTAATCTCTGAAAGTACTGATACGATTCGGTATTTTTTTTACTAATAGGAAGCTATATTACCGCTGAGTTCTATAGACAATTTTTTATGTCGATAAAAATGTGTTTATTGCCAGAAATCGTTATAACTTTAATCGAAGTTGGAAGAAAATGGCCGTTAAGTTATTTTATCGGCTATTCTCGGGTGAGTCGCTAGTGCTTAATCCCTTTGAGATAATAATACATCTCAATAAGATAGTTACTGACGGATGCATAGAGAATAGTTAGGAGTTACAAGTAGGTATACCATATTGATTCATTTGATAATACCAAGCACTGGAAAATAATATATCCATACTAATATTATAAATGAGAACTTGACTGTTATTTTTTAACGCTTAAACCTCTGAACAGATTTCGATAGAATTTCGCAAGGAGATAGATCGCATTTTGGCGTTACACATAGGCTACCCTTGAACCCTGTCTCGTTCATGCGAGCGCAGCCGCCGGAAAAATACTATTAGGATATAAATTCGTTCGTTCGACGACACGTTTGCCTTAGTTTGTAGTGACCCTACTTGCTGTGCCAGTGGTCGCGGTTTCGAGTCCCGCTAGGGGCATCCATTTGTGAGACGAGTACGAATCTATGTATTCCGGTCATGGGTGTTTATATGTATTTAAAGTTACATTATTATGTGTAGTGTATCAACTATCTGGTATCTATAACACAAGCCTCGTTTGTAGCTTACCATGGAACTAGGTGGTGCTGTGTGTTAATGTCCCAACATTCATTTATTTTATTTAAAAGTCAACACAGAATATTGAGTGAAAAGACTAAAGCGAGATTTTTTGTTTATGTACTCAAAAATATAAATTCTTCTTCTTCTCCTTGCCCATTTCTCAATTACTTGGGGTCGACGCAGTACATATTCTGTACTGCTGATAGGATTTGGTAAAAGTTTTACGACCGGCCTACCTGACATCAACCCTCCTTGGGAATGCTATAAATAAATAAAAATATAAATTAAAAAGTTAAAATAATATTGATAATGATTAAATAAAAATAAGCGTAACATCTAAATTTTGTTAGGATTAGATAATGAATTCAAGCCGAACACTTAAAAGACGTTCTCGTTGTTTGATAATAAGTTTCGGC